TTATCCTTGTTTTAGACAATAGAAATTAAATAATTAAAATGACATATATTCCTTTGAGATTTGAGAAAGAAAAATTAAATAAATAACAAGAGTAAGTGTTACTGCAATTAGAATTGTGAGTCTTAAGAATAGGGAAAAGCAAAATAAATGGATAAGAGTGTCAAAAAATAAAATTTGAAACGCTAAATGTTAAGGGATTTAACATTTGATGAAACGCTTCCTAACCTCTAACAGCTGTTACAAATATTAAATTACCGAATAATCTAATTGATATATATAATGTTTTGACTCTAGTCAAAACACTGAACGCTCTCTAAAACACCGTTGCCAGCAGGCTTTTAGATATGCTTCTTGTTAGTGATACTATATGCTCTAGAGCCATACCATAATGCGTAATGTACATTTTATCCCTACTGATGGCAATTTGCATATATATTTTTTAATTTGTGTAGATAGTTTATTTAATTAAATGTAAGTCCATTAGCACTTTCATAGAGAATCTATTCATAACGGTTGTGAATCTGAGTTGTAGATTCTCTTGTATAAATTCTATAAAACTATTCATGATCCTTTGATAATTCACTAAGCGCTAATTCTCAAAAACACGTTCATTGTTATTAGTTTTCAGTAATTAGTATGACATACTAAAAGCCCGTTTCAAACAAATGAACTCCACAAAATTTTTTGAAATTCATTCGAAAAACCTAAATTTTGTGTTTGGAATAAAAAATACAGATTCAAATTCTATAAATCGAATTCTATGAAATTGGATATATCTAATTCAAATTCTACTAAAACTGATAGAATTTGTAAATGAATTCCATAAAATTGACCGTTAAAATGTTTATTGATAAAATTACCCACCACTGTAAACTCAACTATTTTTACTTTTTTTTTCCCTTTTTGTTTGTTTTCTTTGGAAAATCCCAAAACAGTAATGACAATTTTTTTTTTGAATTAACAATTTTTTTTAAATCTAGTAATAACTAAGTTTATCTTTTTACTTTTTTCTTTTTTTTTTTAAATTTCAAATTAGTAATAACAGTTATAAAAATTGAGTATCGATAATTGTTTTCAAATGCAATTAAAAACAGTAGTAACATTTTTAATATTTTTTTTATTTTCCAAATTAATTACTTAAAAATCAACAAGAATTTTTACATCAGTTAAAAATAATTATTGTGCTGAAAGTTACTACTTATATAATTATTAATTAGCGTGAAATTTTAGTGTATTTTTTATATGAAATTTATTATTTATATTTAATAAAAAATGACAATCTATCATGTTGTATATAATAAATATAATTGGTTTTTGTTATTTATTTTTGTTAAATTATTTTGTCAAGGGTATTATAAGGAATAAAGACAAATAAATTTTCATTTGATAATCTATTTCAAATATAAGTTTGTAAATTGAATTTCTTATTTTAAATTATGACATACCATATATGAGAAATTCATTTATAAATGAATTCTGCGTAGAATTCATTTACAAATGAATTATTCATTTATGATTCATTGTTCCAAACATAGTGTAAAGATACGGAGATAGTGAGTTTCATTCTACTTGATTGAGAACTGGGGCAAACATGTGACACTTATGGATTGAATGAGCCGGAATATATGATATCAGATAATGACTATATGGAGGTTTAGCACTTGTTAATAAGCCATTATCCAAGTCATAGTTATGTCAATCCTTATAATTAATAGATTCAGATAGGTTTAATTTATTTAAAAAAAAATATTTTGTTATGGTTTTAAAAGAAAGAATCAAAATATTTTTCAGCTCTATTGAAATTTCTATTATTTAAAATCTAAAAACCTATCCAGATTAAAAAATCAAATTGGTTCCATTCAGTTTAAATTTTCATAAAAAATATATGTGTATATATATTTTTTTAAGTATTGGGGGATTCAAACTTCAGTCAATGACTTAAGTCGCATATGTACTTACTACTAGGTTATGCTTTAGTGTGCATAAAAAAATATTGATATATTTACTTTGTACTAATTTAATTTGATTTGAATCAAAATTGATGGATGCCTAACAAAGAACTCTCCTCTTTTAATTACAATAGAATAATTGGAGATTCTGCGTTATTATAAAAGTGAAGAAACCAATCAAACCACACTTAATTGACTTGAGAACTATCTAATTGGCATGACGACTATTACATTACATACAAAAATTAATTGACAAAGGTTGCTACAAAAGTTATCCTTGCATCCTTTGGGGAATCACTTCAAACTTTTTTTATTAACTCTATTACACTTTATTAAAATGTAGACTTTTTACATAATATGTGCTCAGAAATAAAAAAAAAAAAAAAAGACAATTGCTCTATTTGGCCTCTTAACAAGTTTTAATTTGAGAGTGAGAAAACTTCTATGACTTAACTAAATTGTATCTAAATTCGAATTTCAGTATGAATTTGAAGCCACAAATTTTTTTTTTTAAAAAAGTGTACAATCTAGCAAAATGAGTGACAATTTCACATTTTGAAAAGTGCACAATTGATAATAATAACGCCACAAAGTGGCTTACGAAAGAGTACAATCATTATAAGGATTTAAAAAAGTGCATAACTAATAATAACAACGTCACAAAATGACTTACAGAAGTACACGACAAATAATTAAAGGCCACAAAGTGGCTTATAGAAGTTCACAACCGTTATCTAACATAGAAAACAATAACTATTGAACAAAGGCACAACTAATAATAACAAGGCCACAAAATTGGTTTACAAAAGTTCACAACTACTATTAACAAAAGGCCACAAAGTGGCTTACAAAAGAGTATAACCATTACAAGGATTTGAAAAAAAAAAAAAAAAAAAAAAATTTTGTCAGTAAAGTGAAATTAGGTGAAGAGAGCCACAAAAAATTGTCTATTCTTTATGTAAAAAATAGTGTAACAATTTGCAACAATGTATTGAGACAGAGTTTAATACCCAACATTTTGAAAAGGTGCACAATTGATGAGAATAAGACGCCACAATCTGGCTGTTTTAGAGAAGTAGTACAGGATCATTTAATAATTCCTCAGGATTTAAAAAAGTGCCATGAACTAAATAATAACAAGTGCGAGACAGTAATTTAAATGACTTTTACAGAAAGTAGTACTATTATATATTATATTTAAACGGAGCGCACAAATAGTCGGGTATTATAGCGGCACGATACTCGGGTGTGATCCAATTATACACATAAGAAATATATCATAACGCTATTTTTGAAAAAGGGCAACACGAAAAGCAACTATACAATGCGCGTACATTCGTTATTACGCAGAAAGGTTCACATTCTGTATTACAGAAGGAACGCACAAGTGAGCTTAACGAAAAGAGTAAATAACATTACAAGATTTGAAAAAAAAAAAAAAAAAAAAAAAAAAAAACAAACTACAGTAATTTTAAAGTGCACGATTAATAATAACAAAAGTCCACAAAGTGGCTTATAGAAGTTCACAACCGTACCTAACACAGAAAACAATAAATATTAAAAAAGTACACAACTAATAATAACAAGGCCACAAAAATGGCTTACAAAAGTTCACAACTACTATTAACAAAAGGCTACAAAGTGGCTTACAAAAGAGCATAACCATTACAGAGATTTGAAAAAAAAAAAAAACAAAGTATTGTATTTTTAAAAAGTGTACGATTAATAATAACAAAAGGCCACAAAGTGGCTTGCATAAGTTCACAACCGTTATCTAACACAGAAAACAATAACTATTGAAAAAGTGCACAATTAATAATAACAATGCTACAAAATGGCTTATAGAAGTACATGACTAATAATAAAAGGCTACAAAATGATTTACAGAAGTTCACAACCGTTACCTAACACAGAAGTTCACAACCGTTAACCGTAACACAGAAAAAGATTGAAAAAGTGCACAATTAATAATAACAATGCTACAAAATGGCTTATAGAAGTACATGACTAATAATAAAAGGCTACAAAATGATTTACAGAAGTTCACAACCGTTACCTAACACAGAAAACAATAATTATTGAAAAAATGCATAACTATTAAAGCCATAAAATAGCTTACAGAAGTGCATGACTAATAATAAAAAGGTCACATAGTGGTTTACAAAAGTTCACAACCATCAAGTAACACACTTGCATTTTTAAAAATAAAATGTCACCGTTTTCAAAATTTAATTAAGCCTAACATAAATTCATTCCTGATGTCAACGGTTGTGATCAAATTTACAATGATAACAGTGGATATATATTCATTAAGCATACAAATAAAGTCGAACTCTGTATTTATGGGGCAATTATTTTGACTTTTAATATCAGAATTTTAATTTTATGGCAAAATTTATATAAACAACCACCATTACTATAAAATAAAATGAAAAAGTGAGCTGATAACTTGTCCCTTGAAAGACCCATACATTAAATGTTGAGAATACTTGTGTCCGCTACTTTTCTTAATTGTTGAACTTCAATATCAAAACAAATATATACATTTTAAGGACATTTTAATCTTTTTAACTTGGCTTGCATCCCAAAGTTACTATTTAGAGTAAAATTCTCTATATAAAAAATACACCTAAAAAGGAAATTTTCTCCAACTAAAGAGAACAAAGGGAGTGTTAACTAAGAGGGGATTAAAAAAATAAAATTACGAATCTGTTTATATCAGTTGGCAGTATGCATATACTAGGGGTGTGTAATTTGGAAGAGATTGGATTACATAATTTCTGCTGTCTTAAAATGTCAGGACATAATATTTAGTCTGAGAATTCAGGTATCATCAAATCCAAAAATAATTCTTCTAAAAAGAAAAGTACAAAATTTATCAGAATTTTTTAAATGAAAAATTACTATTTCATCCCTGTATAATTGGAAATACAACTAGTCTATCCCTCAATTTTAAGAAATGCATTTTGTAGTCCCTTATTTTTGTGTCCATTAAATCATTGAGTCCTTCCGTCCTAGTTTATCCATTTTTGAGTTTATTCAATAAGAAAAAACCGGTCAAAAGAGAGAGACTAGAAAATAAAACCACAAGTATCCTTAACAACCAACAGCATCAGTTGACGCATTGTTTCTCTCTCTCTCTCTCTCTGTGCAAAATTCAAATACGAAAATAAAATCATGGTGAGGTTTTTACTTCTTTCTGTCAATTCCTATATCTCACTTTTTCTTTTGTTTCTTTCCCTTTATTATTATTATTTTTTAAAGATTTCTTTGCTATGGATTTCATTGAATTCATGTGTTGCAGATAAGAAGTTATGTATATCATGATGTTATCAGGCTGGGTGATGCTTATAAATTGCCTTTGTTCAAGTAATTGAATTTTTGGATGGCAATTGAATAATTAATTAGATAATTGAACACACTTGAGGAATACATATATGAAATTGCACTCTTCTTATACTTCATTTCTTTTTAATTTTAAATATGCTAATATACTGTTTTTAGAGCCTTTCTTTTAACTTATCGAGAAAATTGACTTCAATGGACAGAAAATCGAACACTTCTTGTAACTTGTAGGTTTGATTTGTCCTTCTGGAATTTTAATCTAGCTTTCATTTCTCTTCTCTCTCTCCTCAAGTCCTACGCCACCAACAGTGCAAAAGTGGTATTTTTAAATCCAAGGCCACAAACAATGCAATTCAGAGGCTCCGGCAACATCTATAATACTTGCGATAAAAGCTTACAAGACCTTTATTTGTTTACTGTTTTGCTCTTTTTTGCAAGGTCTCAATTACCTAGAGAGAGAATAGAAAATAAAGCCATAAGTAAATTATTTTTGCTTGATTGGATGAATCTAGAGTGAAAATGGAGTTTTGTTTTGCTTTGTTTTTGCAAATTTTCTAGAGAGAGAGTTTGAACGATTTGGTATAAAGTGAAAATGTGAAAGATACATAAGGGTATTTATGACTTTTGACTAGACACTAACGGCAAAAAATGAGCTTTTTTTTTATGGAAAGACCTTTTAATTTAATTGTTCAAAATACATGGACTTCAAAAAGCATTTTGTAAAAGCAGGAATGAAGTAGTTGTATTTTAATATCTAGAGGGATGTAATAGTAATATTTCATTTTTTAAATTATTATAGTTATGAATTGCAATAAAAAAAAATTCATTAATAGAAACTTTAATAAATGAAAGCAAGAAAAAAAAAATCAATTATTAATGTACTACTAAATTTATGATAGGATGATGATGGGTTATTATTAGGCTGAATTTCATAAATTTATTAATGTATTTTACACATGAAAACCTTATTAAATTAAAAATTTATTAAATAATTGAAAACATGAAATTTATTGTTCTAAAAGTTATGGAAACCACGTATCATATCAATATTTTACATGTAAAAGTCAAAAATATTAAAAATATATTATTGTTAGAAAGAAAAAAATGTGAGATGTTACAAATATTCATAATTTTAAACTCACAACAAGTCATTTATAAAGTTAAGAGTGCCACAAGATTTTTCATATAAAATTCAAGAGTGAATTATAAATTTCATTGTTATTATTATAATAGCATTAAGCATAATAATATAAAACAATTTCAACTATTCAGTGCAATATAATTTTACTTAAATTTTATAAAATTTAACTCATTATTGTCGTTTCTGTCTTTTACTGGATTCAAGTTCATTCCTTGATCTCATCCTCATAATTGTTTTGTTTAATCAAGTTTTAATCATTATTAAATTTAAGTTTTGGTTCAAATTTTGGAACTTTAGGATACTTCATATCAATTTTAATCAAAGAACGAGTACCATGCTAACGAGACCTTTTTTTTTTTCCGTGTCGTTTGAGAATGGATAAGATTTCCATGGTGCGTGTACGCTCCTGCCATGTATGGGAAATATGGAAAATGTGACGTTGGCTTACTTGGATTTGGATTAATCTAAAAGGTTAGTAGGGCTTTTTTGCCTTTGATACTGAATGGGCCTCACTGGAACGAACCGTGAAAACTGTGAGATGGACTTATTTAGACTTAGGCTAATCGATACTAAAATGTTAGTATTAATTAATTAGCTAACTAGTTTGCCCCTTTATATGTCACAAGCGTTATACCCATGCTATGCATGGTTTTAATGTATAATTTTTTATTAATTTTAAATTTTATCAATTATAATAATTGATGATTTTTTATTATTGTAATATATTGTGTAATTTTGTTTGAATTTGTTGCTCTATTTGTCTAGAATATGTATTTTTTTTCCTTTTTTTCTTTCTTTCTCGTTAAAGTATATTTTAAAAAAAAAATATTAGATGCATTTTTAGTATAAAACTTTAATTGTGATAAGTTTCTTCTAACTACATTTGTTTCAAAGTTATATTTGAAATTTTTTATATATTATTCAAATCACAGTTAAATTTAACTAATCCTTTTTGAAAATTCAAATAAATTGAGCTAATCTAAACTATATCACAAATGTTTCAAATTTGAAACTACTTGATGAATTGCAATTTAAAAATTTAAAATAAAATAAAATACATTATAAAACTCTCATTCTGAAAAACATATTCTAGCTATAATTGTTTAAAAACTATATTTAAAATATTTATATATATATATCATATTATTCATCACATTTACTAAGCGGTGTATTGTACAAAATGTTCACTTAAATTAATTTTAAATGACTTGAATTGAGATCAAAACATTTGGTCCTTTGTTTAATCAAATTTTTATTATTAATAACTTCAAATGATGATAAATATATTGATAATAGATAATCATTTATTATATACTGATTGTGATAATTATTTATATAAATTAATTACAACTAATAGAAAAATTATTAATACTTCAAATGATGATGAAACTATGATTCGATAATAGATTAATATTTATTGATAGTAGCTGATTTGATAATTTATATAAATTAATTACAACTAATAGAAAATTAAAAGATGTAATCATATTTAGTTCTATGGTTATATATTTGTGCTATGTATAGATAATTTAATATATATTGATTTTAATATTTAATTGAAATTGATTTGTAGATAAATAACTTTAGAATTTACAATGTTTAAATTTAATTTAATAAATATAGTTAAAAATTTCATAAATTGTCATTATGATAATAAACCATTATTGAAAAATATATAATAATAATAATAAAGTTAGAAAATAAAATATTCTATTTAATTTTATTTATTTATATAGCCAAATAAAAATTTATGATTTTGAAATGATTATTTTTGTGCTAATTATTGATTTATTTTTTGTGCTAATTATTTATTTTATCTTTTGTTGATTATTCTATTTAATTTTATTTATTTATATAGCCAAATAAAAATTTATGATTTTGAAATGATTATTTTTGTGCTAATTATTTATTTTATCTTTTGTTGAGTTAAACGATTATTATTTCTTACTATATTATTGATTATATCTTAGCATTTATGCATTTATTTACAAATTAATTTCAATCAATAAGAAATTAAAACAAAAAAATCAATATACCATAATTATAAAATTTTAAAACATTTTTTAATCCTTGGAATCTTACGTGGCATAACCTAACTATTCGAATCCTACATGACACTACTAAATTTTTTGCAATCCTACATGGTACTCTCTAGGGTAACAATTAATATAATACCATGATTACAAATTTTTAAAGCATTTTGAAATCCTATATGGCATAACATAACTTTTTTAATCCTACGTGGCACTAGATAGCAATTCCACTTGGCACTTTATAGGGAAAAAATGTTTGCTTTATATATATATATATATATATTGGTTTGTGAATTTGATATTTAGTTGTGGGATTTATCTTAACAAAGTGTGCACAAATAAATTTAGAGAAATTCATCCATGGCATCTATGTAAAAATCTACAAGCATAGATGAAGAAGAGAGAATAAAGAGGAGCTTTTAGGTCTGAAACCACTCAAATGTTTAAATGAGTAAGAAAATAATAAATAATTATAATTGAATGAGATATATTGATATTTTCAATGCATAGATATTGTGTACCTAAGTAGAGAATTTGATATGTATTTTGAAAATCAGTATAAGTATTTTAGAGTGATTGGCGTCCTTTGACATGAGGAATGAAATCTCGTAATCTTATCGAGATTCTATGCAAAATATATTTGGTACATAAGATATAATTAGATGGACATGATAAATATCTATATTATTTTCTATGAAGAATAAATATTTATATTCTATCATGCACTTTTCTTAAAAAATTTTATTTTAGTAATAACAAATAGAAAAGAAACACTATTCAAATATCACTTTGTTTTTCCATTTCCTCACTAATGGACTCTTTTCCCCCTCTATCTATGCTACTATTTGCATGATATAGATATTAGATATCCATACTAAAAGCATTTTTTGTAAAATAAAACTAAATCAAAAATAGGAGAAAAATAAAAGAGAGAGAGAATTGCATTCAAGTGATTTAAGCATGATATAAAATGAGTTTTACTTCAATGGTACTAGACTCATTCTCCAAATTGAGAATTTTTGAGTTTGAACCAAAAATAATTAGAGGTCTACAGAGACTCGCATGAGAAGACAAGAACAGAGCATAGCCAAGAACAACTTGCCGGCAATATATATGGAGATCCGGCCGGCAAGTCATCCTTGGCTCCATTCTACTCTTTACCTCTTCATGCAAAGCTCCGTTAGACTAAACATTAAACATAGGGTTCTTGTTTTTTATTGCTGCATGTTAATTTACTTGCACTTATATAGAGAGGTTGATATATTCCAACTTTCCGTAAAGGAAAGTGGTTGTCGTATGAGCATTTACAGCCTCTAACAATCTTCTGTATTGTCACATCACCCAGGGACTCCTTTCTCTGTTTAGTGCAACTTCGGTTCAAGACCAACCTGATTAGGAGAGAAAAGGAGCTTTTATTTATTTATTGAAGGTGTTGAATAAACAAATTGGAATAGAATCCTTTGTTTTAAATGGGAATAGAATATATTGTTTTTAGGAGAAAGAAACAGTACTCATAAATATATTTATCATTTCATAAGAAATAAATCTAACTAAAATTGATATCTTTAAGTTGTCATATATGAATTACTTCATGTACTTTTATTTTTATTACATTTCGTGTATTTGTTATTTGTACTTCAAAAGTTAAAATGAATGATTTAATATTGAAAATACATATACAATTTGATATTAAGGTATAGTTATTGAAAATATATGGTCATAAAACTACACGAAGAGATAATTTAGCAAAAATTTTAAAAATGTTAATTTTAATTATTGTTTGATAATTTTATTTTAATTATTAATTATTAAAAAGCTATTTTTTTAATTTTTAAAATTTAAAAACCTATTTTTAAAATATTTGCTAGGTGTTGGTTGGTTTTTTTTTAAGAAAAGAAAATATGAAAATATATCATAGACTCTCATTTATAGTAAAAAAAAAAAAAATCAATTTTGAATAAATTTAAGATTTGATCAATTTAATTTCATATTATTTTTA